GCTGAGGTGGACCTAATCAAAGTAATTCTTCCTCCATGGAGATGTAGTTTCTCTAAGCTTTTTGGTGAATCTTTCTACAATTGGTTTACAGAAGGTCTTAGACTTCGGATTCCCTCGCCCCAAAAGGCATACCAAGGTATTCTAGGGGCCATGATTTCACCTCACATCCATAGTTTTCAAGGCGCCAAGGCGAGGCTGGGCGTTAGGGGGGTGCTGCCTAGGCGATGGATTTTTTTATATAGAAAACATAGATCCTAGGGTAGTTCCCTAGGTACCATAGCCATATTTCCTTAATAATTATTCATAATTTTCATAAGAAAAGTATAGAGTTCATGTTAAAGTATAGAAAATGTGTTGATTAGACAAAATTTTAAGTTCTTCCTTACTTATTGGTTCAGGTTTTAAAGTCTTTGAGGGTTCAATACAGCATTTAGCAATGTTTGTATTGATTAAGTCCTAACAAATAAGAAAATAATAAAAACAAATTAGTAATATAAACACATTAATGAATATTTTAGTTTAATAGTGCCTATTTTATAATTATAATGTCAAAAAGTAAAGAATAAAAAAGTATTTTACAATACATAGTACAAAACTGCTTGGCGATTAGGCGAGGCGAGCCTCAAAGGGCACCTTGTCACCTAGGCGTCACCTTGACAGCTATGCTCACATCCTAGTGTTTCTTCCAAAGACTGGACAATATAGCCTCTTATAGTTTTCAAGGCGTGATTCTGAGCGACATTGGGGCACCTAGTCACCTAGGTATCTAGGCGCTTATTAATATGTGTAGTGATTTTCTTTTTGAAGAAATTATTAATATGTGTAGTAATACATTTTATTATTTGCTATATATATCATTTATACTTTGTTGTAATGTTTTACTATTGAAATTTAAAAGATCAAAGGGTTTTGAGGAGAGAAAAAGAAAGAAAGAAAAAAATGAAAGAGGAAAGAATAGAAGTATAAAGTGGTTCTTTTTTTTCTATTCTCTCATTAAAATAAAGCAGAAATTCCATCCTTGTTTTTCTATTTTACTTTCTATATTGAATATTTATCATATGAAGGTAATAACCTTCTTTAGCTACTATTTGATATGATATCGCTCTATTAAATACTTATTATAGTAGTATTATTTTTTAAAATAATGAAATTAATATATGTAAAAGATTTTTATCTTTTAGATGTGATGATTTGCCACATTTTTAAAGGAAATTTAATGTCCTTAATAAAGAGAATTGTTATTTTTTCAATATATATACATGTTGAATGGTATATAAAACTAGGGAACTAGCCAAATGATCTCCTTGCCTTAGCCCTCTTTTAGTTGGAAAGAAGTCCTTTGCCACTCCATTTAGTATGTATTGAGAAGTGTGCTGAGCTAACACAACTATTGATCCACTTCCTCCATCTTTCTCTTAGACCAATTTTCTCCAGAAGACACGATATGAGAGACCAGTCCATATCATATGCTTATTTCAAATCCAACTTATAGATTAGGCCTTTCCCTCCCTGCTTTCGCAATGATCTTATCAAGGCCACCCACAAGGCTTATAGGTCTATCCTTGGGTGTTTTAGCCTCTTTCTTCTTTGGTACTAGGGCTAGGAAGGTTGCATTTGCCATTGGTGAACTTTCCCCTTTTTGGTGGAACTCAATAAAGACATCCATTAAGTCATCTTTTATGATTTCCCAACAATCCTGATAGAAAGCCATCGAGAAACCATCAGGTCCTAGAGCTTTTGACTTGTCAATAGAGAAGATTGCTTCATGGACCTCTTCCATATTGAAAGCTTTTTCTAAGAGGGCAGCATTTGTTTCTAGCACTCTATTCGAATTCAATTCCCCTATTCTTTTCTTCCATGGAGGCAAAGATTGATTTAAAATGATCCGCAAATCACTTTTCAGTTTACCTTCAGTCTCAATGCTAGAGATCAAGTTTTTGCCTGTTCTCCCATTTGCTAAAGAGTGAAAGAACTTAAGAGTTTCCATCCCCTTCTAACAACCATTTACACCTTAATTTTTACCTCCAAGAGATTTCTTTCAAATTCCATCTCTCTGATCTTTTCTCCAAGCCACATTCTCTTTGGGTCCTTTTGGTCTAGTTCCTCAATCCTTTTTGCAACTTCATCTTTTAATTCTTCTAATCTTCCAAACTCTTCTCTATTCCACTCATTAATTCTTTTTTTTTTCAAATTCTTCAATTTCTTTGTGAATCTTTTTTTTGAAGGATAAAAATAAAAATTCATTAAAAAGGAAAAAGAATGATAACAGGAAGGTGATAAGATATCACCCGAAAAAGAGACACAACCAATGGACCCAACAAACAGACATCAAGACCTTTAACAAAACTGAGTTTTCTCACCCCTTTATTCCTATCATAGATTCCATCTTCCCTCAACCACTCTTTTATTTTGTTCAAAAAATTTGGGACGTCCAACCACATATTTTTAAATCTAAAGGCTGTAGGGGCCTCTTGGAGGATTCTCCTGCTTTAGACTCAGAGGACAATGGTTAGAGGCTACCCTAGGGAGGGCTTTCAAGGCTAGGTTTCCCCACAACTCTTCCCAGTCAATGGAGAACAGAAACCTATCCAACTTGGATCAAACTTTATTTTCCTGAAAATTTGACCAAGTTAAAGTACCTTGTAGCAACTGGGGTTCCCTCAGCTCTAGGGACTAAAGTTATTGAATTTTCCTGAAAATTTATGTTTATTTTTAATCCATCCTACTTCTAAGTTGGGCTCTAAAGCCCAACAAAAAATGGGTGTACAAAAATATAATCATAGATTTTTTCAAGCACGGCAACCTGCCCAGGCCTGATCAAATCGAGCTCGAACCTAGACCAAGTTGTGTTAGGTTAAGCTCGGGCTGGGTCTGGTTGGTAAATTCGGGTTGACATCGGGTTGGTCAGGCTTGAGCTTGAAGTTTATGTCTTAGGGTTGGGCTGGGTTGACCTTCAACCGAACCCAACCCACCCAGGTTCCCAAGTTGCACCTCCATGTCTATCACAGACACTTACATCCACTTAGGAGAGTCTGTGCAGCACTGCTTTGAACTGCATGCCATAGAGTTTTTCAAACTGAGAGAATGTTTCTATTAGTTATTTCATATATTCTTTTGGAATCATCAAAAGCAATAATCATTTAATTGATGTGCAATAGAAAACCTGCATTCTAAATAATTATAAAATTGCATTGTGAATAATTTGTAATGGAGGAACTAATACAGCAGCTAGAAGTTGTAGTGACATCTCAAGAAAACAGAACAAAACCTTATCGTTACATTATGTTAAGTCATTTCACCTTGCTCTTTTACATTCTTTTTCACTGACTTAACAGTCCAATCCCCATACAATGTAACTCATTATGTTTGTTATATGCTCAACTATGTCAAATGAGCAAGGAGAAAGGAAAATCACATGTAGAACTGTCTCCTCAAGAATCCATGGAGTACTGGAACTGAACGTGTGTTTGACACAGTTGTTCACTTCATCCATTTAGGAGAGTCCATGTAAGACTGAATGGTGTGGGCCATACTGAACACCATATGCTCCAGGTAGGGGTGACAATTTATGACCAACCCATTTAATCCACCCTAACCCACCCATTACACAGCGGGATGGAAATGGGTGAGTCAATAGTCAATTGAAATGGGTTGGATTGGGTTGTGTAAACCGTATTCATAGGACAGGCTACTGATGCCATTTGAGATGCTTGTGAATTTATGTAGCATGCTCAAGAATCCATGGAGTACTGGAACTGAACGTGTGTTTGACACAGTTGTTCACTTCATCCATTTAGGAGAGTCCATGTAAGACTGAATGGTGTGGGCCATACTGAACACCATATGCTCCAGGTAGGGGTGACAATTTATGACCAACCCATTTAATCCACCCTAACCCACCCATTACACAGCGGGATGGAAATGGGTGAGTCAATAGTCAATTGAAATGGGTTGGATTGGGTTGTGTAAACCGTATTCATAGGACAGGCTACTGATGCCATTTGAGATGCTTGTGAATTTATGTAGCATGTACTGAGTCTACTGATGTCTTTCACAATTTCATCTCACTATCAGCTCTCTCTCTCTCTCTCTCTACCTCCCCCTCCCTACCTCTGTCTCTCTCCTTCCCCTTGGGATTTTAAATTTAAATATATTGAAGTTGGTGGATTGGGTTGGTTGGACCTATGTCTGAGCTTTGTAAATGGGTAATTAATGGGTGTGTTACTCTTCAACCTGCATCCAATCCAACCTACCAATTACTTACTTAGTTGGATGTAAATGTAATAGAGTATATCTGAATTAAATGGGGACTAGATTTTGGATCCAATTCATGTGTTTTACCTTAAACCCAACTCAGATAAAATCCAAAGGAGCAAACCAAATAAGTGTTGGTCTGGTTATTCATTTCCAACCTAGATCATGACAGACCTATTTAGAGGTTTGTCCATTCAGAGCTGACCAGATGTACATAGATCCCTCGGATCTGGTCCGTTTCATGCTGTAGGCACCAGATCAAGAAGTTTTTTGAAGGATTGTGCTGTTCTAACAAAATATGGTTTACACAAAGAGAACATTATAGGTTTATATACCTTCTTTCAAGTTCCTTGATCATATATTTCAGGATCAACAATAGATAGTTCTGTGTGACTGTTAACTTTGGGCTAAAGCAGAGGCTATATGGTTCCAACTTTTTCTTTTGTATTGGGATTTTGCAAATTAATTGCTTTTTGCCTCGAGTCATTCTTGTTTTTCTTTTGCCCTCTTGTTTTTTCCCGTGTTGTGACTCAAAAATTGTGCACTTGTTTCTGTATGCTTTAATACTTTCTCTCTTGTCGGTATTGCATGCATTCCATTATGCTTTACTTCTTGCCTGCTACATTGTATGTGCTATGTTTCTTCTTTATAAAATGCTTGCTCCCTTTCCTAAGAATATAATCACTTTGGCAATCATGCTGTTCTCTATTCTGGTCTTTAAGAACCCATTGAGAGCTGTTCTGCAGGTTGGGAGATCAGCATACAGGGGTGGTGGTAGAAGAGGTGGCGGGTCATTCAGAGGTGGTGGTAGAGGTAACTTTGGCCAACGTCAACCTCGAGCAGATGGATCAGGTCACCATTTCCGCGGGAGGGGACGCATGGGGAAGGGTGGTAGACGCTTTCAACAACATGCTGCATCATCATCAGCATCAGGCCAGGAACCTGCAGCACTGGCACAAGGAGAAGCTGATGTACAAGGAGAGGCACTACAAGCTGAACGGCAGCTGCAATCAGTTCCAGCTCAACCTCCAGTATCAGCTCCAGTACCAGGACAGTCAGCTCCAAACCGACGTCCCCCTCAAATTGCATGGTGTGAGCTTTGTAGGGTTGACTGCACCAGTTTAGATATCCTTGAGCAGCACAAGAATGGAAAGCGCCATAAGAAGAACTTGCAGAGAATTGAAGAGTTAAAGAATGCCAAAAAACCTTTGCCTGCAATACAGGTCGAGCAAAAACCTCTGCCTGCATTGAAGTCTGAGAGTATGGTGCAGCCTGCTAGTGTGCAGGAGATCCAGCCTGACAATGTCCAGGGGATGCAGCCTGAAAATATCCAGGGGGCACAACCTGAGAATGTTGAGGGTTTGCAGGCTGACAATATGCAGGGCATTCAAGCAGAGCATGTTGAGGGAGTGCAGTCTGAGAATGTCCTTGAGGCAGGGCCTGACAATGTCCAGGAAGGACAGCCTGAGAATGTCCAGGGAGCAGGGGAGAGCAAACCACCTATTGCAGAAAATTTGCCTACTGAAGCTCCTAGTAATGAAAACAAGATAGAAATTGAGCAGCAAAATAGTTCGGTAGAACAACCTGGGACTGCTGATGTTGAAAGGGCTGAAGCACCTGGAAAGAGGCAGAGGTTTGGTCGATTTGATTCTCGTAGGCGTGGTATCAAACGCAAGATGAGAGGAGGGGGTCGAGGAGGTAAGCGCACGAGGACTTCTGAAGGGCCAAGGAAGCCGGTTGAGCCTCCCAAACCAAAAGAGGTGGTCCCCTTAATCTGTGACTTGTGCAATGTCAAGTGTGACACACAGACTGTTTTTGACTGTCATTTGGCTGGTAAAAAGCACCTATCTAAGCTTAAACGGTTCCAAGGTCATCAGGCAATGTTTGGACCTGTAGGACTTCAGGCTCTTTACCCTCCCAGTCCCAGTGCTCATTCAACTTTTGTCATCACACAAGGACATCAACAAGCCTTCTACAGCCCTCATGTCTTCCTTCCACAGCAGGCTGCTTATAGGCCTCCTCAAGCTCAACAGGCGGCTGCAGCAAGTTCACAACCCCAAGTTCAACCATTGGAGTCTCAAGTAACAGATGTTACATTGGAATCAGGAAACGAGATTGCTGTTGCCGTTGAATCTAAAAAGCGACAGTCTGTTGTAGTCGAGATGGGAAACCAACAAGGCCATATGGTGGAAGCCATATCTGAGAAAATTCCAGAATCAGGGGGAATGGAGGTTGGCTCTTCCCTGGATAACTTGGTTGTGCCGGCATCAGGTAATGGTGATACAAGGGGTAACCAAACTCCTTCAGTGAAGGACGATTCTGGTCCTGTGTCTGATATGGGGTTGCCTCAACCAAATACATGCGAGGATTCACAACCATGAAGTAGTCGAGGTGATTGTAAGACCCAATGACCAGTCATGTCAGGGATGGACTTAAACGTTGAATATTGGTGCATGGCTTATGGTCATATTTGCTTTTTAGGAACTGTTTTTCTTTGTTTTCGATGGATGGTTCTATATAACATTGCCTTGGATGATGTATCCTTAAAATCATCTTCTAACCTCATTTGTTTTGGGACATTCAAGCGATCAAGGCGTTTTGAGGGGATTAATAGCGTTCATACTTGATATTTTGTTTAGTCAGGTTTGGTTGCTTGATATCCTACTGGTGTATTTTTTTGTTATCCTTTTGAACCAGGAAGCCCGCGTAAGAAGTAACGCAAGTCAATGGTTGGAGGCTAGGAGCTATTGTTACTTTTTTTGTGTTACGTATAATGTGGGTTTAGAGCAAATCTTTGATTATCTATCAAAAAAAAGGGGCAACTCTTTGACTGTGTACCCATCTATTGTTACTTTGTTAGCTTACAATTACAAGGTTAGAGTGAAAAAAAAAAAACTCGCTCTGCCAAATGTGGATGGTGAATTCATATTGTTATGGGTTTTCTTTTTTGTTTTGCTCATGGCATTCAAAGTTGGAACTTGGAAGAGAATATTATCTTCTAGAATGGAGCAACGGTTGAAACCATTGGATATGATTATATGAAGAGTAGATTTAGTTCTTGAAATCAGGAACTGAATCACTACATTCCTGTCTTAGAAAACTGGAAACGATCATCTAATTACTAAAAACGATTTCCGGTACTTCGTTCCAGGTATGGTCAGGATCACAGGATGGGTTGGGTCGGTTGAGAAGAACCAAGTTACCTACACAGGCGAAGGGCTTTCCATTAGGCATTCGGCTTATCCCTTCATTCCCTCAAATCTCAATCTTCATTGGCATCGTTCATCGCCCAAATGATAAATTTGACCTCCGACAGTCCCGTCCAAATGAAGAAAAATTTTGGATTTTTTTTAATGGTGATCTGAGGTTTCCCCAGTAAGAGGTAACCTGACCAAACTGGTGGTCGTGTAGGTTTGTTGAGAAGAAAGGTGGGGAGGCATGCTCGTAATTTACTGGGTTGTGTCTTTTCATGGGTCATACCATGTTTGTTTGGCGATGTATATTTGAGAAGTTGAGTTGGAGAGTGGAGACACTTATTAATGGTTTACTCACTAAAAATAAAGGCTAAATTGCACATTAGTAAATGCTACTTTTTTTGATAGAAAATTAGATTACCATTCATTTAGAAAACTATCATACAACGAGCTAAGAAAAGAGGGAGGGTAATAAAAAAAGGGCTCTGTTTGGCAGTTTCATGGGCCATTCCATTTTTAATCCCAGGAATGTACTTAAACTTTGCAGAATAATTTACAGAGCAAAAGAAATCAAGTGTTCCACCAAATGCCACAATTCTAGGTTAACATCCAGGTTCCCAGAATTCAGAATGTTCACAGCTAAGAGACGACTATAAGAAAAGACTAGAATATTTTGGAGATTCCTTTCCAACGCAAAAGAGACAGTCGCTTTGATTGCACTTAGCTCCATCAGCAGCACCAAGTTAGTTGCCCGAGACTTTCTGCCTACTGCTGCCACAAAAGAGCCAGAGTTAGATAGACAATAGACAAACAAAAGCAAAGGCTCCCTGTCCATTAGAGAGAACACTCCCATCACAGAAACCAATGCAAAAGAGACAGTAGCTTTGATTGCACTTAGCTCCATCAGCAGCACCAAGTTAGTTGCCCGAGACTTTCTGCCTACTGCTGCCACAAAAGAACCAGAGTTAGATAGACAATAGACAAACAAAAGCAAAGGCCCCTTGCCCATTAGAGAGAACACTCCCATCACAGAAACCAATGCAGCCTGCCCCTTGAGACAAATTCCTCCACCGGGGGTTTAAAATTTTGGTGCATCACACTAACAAGATCACACTCATTGCTCTCCATATTTGTAAAAAAGCTTTTGGGCTAGTCCAGGATTTATTTCTAAAAATCAGATCATTCTTGAACCACCAGATATGATAAACAATTACAGAAAGCCACACCGGAAATATCTGAAAGCTACTACTTTAGTCTAGCACCATTAACGGACGTTACAATGGATAGTAAAAGTATCAAATTGCCCCTTGCTATCATGAACAATCAATGAAAATTATCCAACTGCCCTTTGTTGTCATGATCAATCAAATAGGTTGACTGAACCAACGAAACTCCTCTATCTCTAAATTAAAATTAGAGCACCCAAGCGTTTTGTGTCACTGAGTTGTTCCTTAAGTCAAACTGAGTTGATGGGCAAATTATTTGTGTTTTTGGGTCTTGAAAGCGAACAAATTGCCCATTTTAGGATGGTGATAATGGAAGCAAGGTTATCATCCAATATCATGAACCCAGTGGTGGCTCGGTTGGTAGGAACCATGGGAGTGAAAGCTTAATTGATCTTATAGAGAACTTAATAACATTGTAATAACAGGTGCTGCCATCTAAATATAAGGGCCCGGGCCCACTTTGATTGCAAGCTCCAAGTAGGAAATGAATGAACAATGTATAGGTTGAGGGTTGCATTAAAAAGTTGGAGAGGGAAGAAGAAGGGCAAAGAAAGAGAATAATAGAATACAGAGAAGGTGGACTGGTGGTTGGTTTGGGACTTTGTTCACTGTTGCCTTGGTTTAGTCTTGAAGAAAAAGATGATGAATAATGTGTCTTCTTCTCAAGGATAATTTTGAAAATTTGAAATGTTCTAAATGCATGCGATATCACGTGTATCACATGATTAAGGGAATGCTAACTATGGGGCTTAGGGTACATTAATCTTTTGGATTTTGAGAAGGGGAAGTTGGTCGATGGGATTTTGGTTCCCATTGACCAAGAAACCCATATTTTTTTTAGATTTATGTGGGGTTTGTTGAAAATTTATTTTCTATGGGTAGGTGGCTAAGGTGGGAAAGTTACTAAATTTGTCCCTTTTAATAATAACTTTTTATGATTAAAATGGTCATTGTATGGAAATAAAAAAATATTGATAAATACAATTATTTAGGTAAATGTTTTCTAGGAAATACTTATCCAAAGGATAATTATTGACATTTTTCTAATTTCAAGTGGCATGTTTTGAAGTTAGTATAATAAAGTGAAATTACATGCAAAGTGAATAATAAAAAGTATTAATATCCAATTTATCTAAAAATAAATAAACCTAAATCTATACTATATATAAAAGTGTGGATGCATAGTGGATTTTTTTTGGACTAAAAATCACTCTCTATTTCTTTGTTTGAGAAAGGGTATAAAAGTTATTTTATCACAGCTTTAATACTAGTTTTAATGGCTACTAAGTGCCCATATTTGTTTATTTACTTCATCTCTAATTGTAAGGGTTGAAAATGCAACTTCAGTTGTTACATTCCACCTTATTTAATCCCCTTTCATTAAGCCTTATACTTAAGGTATTATCTCTCATTTTCTCTTATTAAATCCTATATTAAGTTATTTTTCACTAATAAAAATACTAATTAGATCTATATTAGTATTTTTAACAATATAAATCCATATATTTTAAAACTAACTCAAGAACAAAACCATTCATTATCTAAGTGGTGGCTAAGCAATTCAACCATCTAAATCAAATCGATCAACCTATAAAGTCATAGTTAGGTAATAAATTTTTTAAGATTGAAATAAACTTATAAAATTACAAAATGTAGAAAAAATAGACACATTTATGATGTTTTGTTAATCAAATTAAAAAAAATAAGTAAATAAATAAGAAATATTTTTATTGATAATGAAAATGAAATACATAATTTAAAACTAACCAAAACTGAAATTGTTTTATTGTTTGGCAAACATCAATAGTTCAACTTTTGGGTTAAATGTGTTAACATTTAATGTCATAAATAAATAATAAAAATTAATAAAATATAAAAATACAAAATGAAAAAATACATAAATTTTGAAAGAAAACATTTAGGGTATAATATTATATAATTATCATATTAAACAAAAAGTGTGACATATTAGAATTATTTTTATACATAGAAATACAAAAAACTTATGTATAAAATTGAACACATCTATAGTTCTATATTTAAATTACTATTAAAAATATGAATAAAATTGTAGAACTTTTTTATTGACTAAAATACTCATTTTTGAATTTTAATTGTGAGGTTTAAATTGTGAATTGAATTATTATTTTTCATCTCATTCATTTCCCTTCATTTAAATGTTACATTTCTTTGATAAATGAGCAAAAAAAAAAAAAAAAAGATACAACAAAATGATAAAACAAAGAAGAATCTAGCCAAGCAAATATGCATGTCAATGATACTTGAAACTTCACAACTCGATCCGATTATCACATATTTGGATGATGTGCTTATGTAATCATATTTAGATTTTGCAATCTACATCCGATTAATAATAAAAAAACAAAATATAAAAAGTACATATTTATAAAAATTTTTGAATATATTATTACTATCATTATTATCATTTAGAATTGCCACGTACAAAACACGTGCATGCTAACTAGAATTAGGGATGCAAATGGATTGACGATCTGACAATTTTCATGTTGGATCTGATCCAACCTGACTTGTTTTCTTTAAAAATTAATAAATTATTAAAAGAAAAATAAAATATACTAATTCAAATAAAGTAAAAAACAAAAAATACAAATATTTTTAATTATTTTCGTCATACATATACATGTTTTTTTATAAAAAAATAAATAACATAACAAATTTATAAAAATATGATATAAAAAATATATTTTAAATAAATAAATCACAATTCGGATAGGGATGATCCGAATCCGATTTCTGATCAATCGATTTATCCGACCCGAAGATCCGAACAGGGTGATCCGAATTTGTTTAAATCGGATGGGACGGGATCGGATCCATTTGCACCCATAACTAGAATAGTAAATAATGAATCCTTTCGGCTCCCGATTGCCTCCCGCACGTTTCTCCCCCAAAAAAAGAATAAAAATTGGGATTAGCTGGTATAGGACTCGTTGCTGGACGCTTGTGGGTTAGGAATTAGGATACAGGAAATTGAAAGATTCTTTCGTGTCTATAACAAAGTTCCTTCGTTTTGATTTCGAACATATTAAAGAGCAGAGTGGGAGAGAGGGATTGGCTGGAGAATGGCCGATCACTCCGACGATTTAGAGGCACTCCTCGACAGTAAGCGCAGATACAGAAACAACTCTTTCTGACTCTTGTGCTATTGTCCCCCTGTTTATGTGTATGTAACCCGTTTGCTGATAATTTGTTCTTCTTAAATTCTTTCAGGTGCTTTAGACGATTTCCAGAATCTCAATCTTAGTTCTTCTGCTCAAAGGTAAGAGAATTTAAAGGAGTTTTCGCTTTTCTTATTTGCTTTTGTTTATAATTTCTTGCCTCATTTATTTCTTCTTTTACTGTGAATCTTTTAGTAGTGTAGATGGTGGAGAGAAGAAAGAGGACAAGCCTCCTTTGCCTTCTGGGGTTCAGGGGTTGGGTATTGGGTTACCTGATTTGAGAAGTAAGAAGAAGGGAAAGCAGAAGGTTTCCAAAGAGTCTCATGCTTCTGAGGCGCTTGAGAAGCTGAGGGAGCAAACTCGAGAGGTCGTCCGGGAGTTGGAGTCGACCACGGCCAAGGCCGGTGGAGATGATCTGGGGAAGGAGAAAATGATTGAAGATTTTGTTAAGCAGTTTGAGGACCTTGCCGGGTCTCAGGTTCGATTCTCAATTAGGGTTTATGCTTCTATTCTATATCTTTTTATGATAAGTTGTATTCTTTTAGTTCAGTTTCGTTGCTTGGACTTCTGATTACCCTGTGAATTATCCTCCGGTATACGTCTGTTAATGCTTAACAACATCCCACTGTAATCGATTTTGTTCTGATTAATATACAAGTTAATATCCGACTATAATTGATTGTTCTAATCGTTGCCGTTGCTTATAAAAAAAATACAAGTTGGGCCATACCGAAAACGCCCACTTAACCCGGGTAAATGGGTAATTTCAATTAAAAAAAGAGAACTATTGGATGAACAACATTTTCTCTGAGTTATTATGATACTGTTTTTAGATGGTTAACTTTTACCTGAAGATGTTGGTTAAAATCTTCAAATTGGTCTGAGTTTCATTTAAAAAAAAAACCAATCCAAAGTTTTGAACTCGGAATCCTGTTTTATTTAGCTTAAGTGGGTAAGGTGTGAAGTAGAAGACAGGAAGTTGCTCCAAAGTCCCATACAAGCTTCAGTTCCTGTCTTCAGATGATTCTCTGCTCAGTTAAATAGCAGGGATTATGATTGAGAAACATAAGAGTATTCATACTTTATACTGTTTTTAACTGTGGTTCTGATATATTCCTTGTGTTATAATAAGCTGCATCCATTTCTTTTTATAAAAAGAGGCTTGCAAGGGACTATTGATATTGCAGATTGTAACCTCGTGTATATTCTCGTCCTGATTTGATTATAGCAAGTTGAGGTCTGCCAAACCCCATTGACCTACCAAAAATGTTGGTTCTATTTCTAGGATATGCTCCACCATTTCAATGGTCCAAAATGATGGATCTAGCAACACCATCCGGTTTGGTATCCTTTGATGGGAGGGGGTTATCCTGGAATTTGGGTTCAAGGAGAACTTTGCATGCTCATGAAGTGAATGAGATGACCTCCTTACTTGAGAGTCTGGAACTCTTCAAGAGGTGAGCCTTAGTCCTGGGGGGATGGATGCGAGAGTGTGGGCACCAAATGTCAACAGTATTTTCTCCAGAGTTTTTTTTTTTTTTCTCCAAACCTTCTTTAATCCAATTGACAGAAACCCATTTCCAGTTCATCACTTGATATCAACTCGACTCATCATCATCATCATCCATGCCTTATCCCAACTATATGGGGTCGGCTACTTCTACCCATGTCCTTTTTGGTCTACCCCTTGCCTATCTAGCCCCTTCAACTTGTTACAAATCACTTCTTCTTAAGGGTGCTTTTGATGGTCTTCTATGCACATGACCAAATCATCTTAGTCTACTTTCTCTCATTTTATCACCTATTGGAGCTACTCTTAAGTTTCTATGAATGACTTCATTTCTAATCCTATCCTTTCTAGTTTTTCCACTCATTTATTGACTGCTCAACACTTATCACTTCATATCAACTCAGGTGATGAACTGAAATAATTTCAAGGCATGATGTATCATTTTTGAAGTTTAAGATTCATAATGGGCTCCAGAATACCTAATTGATGGCTGCTAGACATCTGATTTGCATCATTCATGTCTTGGTTGATCTTTGATACTTACGATGTAGTCACTTGGGACAACTAAGCATTGGCCTGGGCTGCATAGCCCGCTTGGGTGGTGTTTGACAACAGTGTCAAACTTTTCTCATTGATTTCCAAAAACAAAGCCTCAAAATATGTTCTTCAAAACAGATATATTTTCAACCTTATTAATACTGATTGTGTTTGGTAACAGTTGTTGTCTGTCTTTTTTGAAACAAAAACACACAGCCTTGTTTTCCAAGATGTGTTTTCAAAAACACAGTTGTTGTCTGTTTGTGCAGCTCCTTTCAAATTCTAGTCCAATTATCTTATTTTCTGCTTGTTGGTGTTTCTGTTGGGTTGGGGTGACTCCTTGTCACCTGTGTTAGTTGTATCTTTTTATTCACAGTAATAAAATTTTCTTCTTTATTTGTCTTAAAAAATGATTAAGGTATATCCCTGGTCATCACATGAACCTACATACTGTGAGGTCGAGCCCAACAACATTGGAGTCTTTGAAGCACTCATTGGCTTTCCTATCCATATAAACCTTTTCTTGTTAACTCATGTAGCCAACCCCGTCTTGTTGGGATAAGGCTTGGATGATGATGATGATGATGATGATGATGGACCCTTTCTTGTTAATCATCAAAAGTAATCCTCTATACTCTATGCTTACCTGTAAATATGAGGTAGAACGAAAATTCCTGAAGTTTTCCTATAATAGTTATGCAAGCAACAAAACATACAGCTTCAAGGAGCAATAAAATAATAGCTACAAGAGTGCCAGTTCGTGATATACAAAGTTCAGTCTTAATGGATGAAGATCATTAAGCAAAAATTTTAAGAACAGAACAATACAAAGGTAGGACCCAAAACATAAAGCAAAAAAAAAAAAGCATCTGCAACAGGTAGGTGAATGTGAAGTTGGCTGAGTTTGTTTTTCCTTAAGACTGAACTTTATTTTGCTAGAGTTTTATAGTCTGATGATGATTTGTGAAGCTATGTCTCAGTTTGTTTTTCCTTCTCTGAGGTGATAACTTATCACCTTTTGTATTCTCCTTTTATTTTTATTGGAATTCTTATTTACTTTTGTGATCCTCCCATGCTGGGCAAATGTGGATGAACTTGATGCTTTTCAACTTGATCCTATTGGAGTTGATGACATACGTCTAACCCTACACTCTGGTGTCTTATCAGTTATCACCAAGAAGCTGATCTAGCAAAGAGTTTTTGTGATCCTCCCATGCTGGGCAAGGAAAGAGCCAATGCCCATAGCAATGATTTTTGTTATCACAAGTTTCATTGAACCCTTTCGACATGTTCATGGTGCACTATTTACATCATCCATTCCTAGAATTTATGAAACGAAGAAAATCAATCAAATTTTAAAGGAATGACAGAATTAAGAGGTTGAAGCAAAAGCAGAAAATTGGCTTCCTTTTGGAATATGAAGAATGGGAATGAAGGAAAAGAAATGGAAAGCTCAGAACATAAAAACATAAAAAAAAGACTGACATGGTAAAATCCACGATAGGATGAGCCACGATAAAGGGTATGGGGCTCAAGTTTTTTTGTTTATAAAAATTGGGGGAAGGAGTTTCAAGACAGGCTGGTATGGTTTTCAACTGTATGGTATGTAGTGGACACATAAATCCTTTTTGCTGACTTGTTTCCGGAAAATGCTGAAAATGGATTTGTAATTTGTTGTCAAACACCTTCATTCTGGATGTTGCCCTGTTCTTTTGAACAAAGACTCTTTTTTTCTGTCTTGTCGTTTCCAGAAAATGCTGAAAATGAATTCTGTATTGTTGTCAAACACCCCCTTGGTGCACATGGCCCTGTTCTCATCATCATCTAAGCCTATCCCGATTATAGGGGATCGACCACATGAGTCCTGTTTTGTCAGTCCATTGTGTATAGTGCCATTTCCATTGTTGAACTACGAGTGTGTAAATCATTTATTACTTCTTCAACCCATCCTTTTTGGTCTGACCCTAGCCCTTCTAGCCCCTTTAAATTGTAACAGATTGCTTTTTCTTATGAGCTCTTAGATGGTTTTCTATGCATGTGACTAAACCATCTAGTCTACTTTCTCATTTTATCACCTATTGGAGCTACTCCTAGTTTCCTTTGAATGACTTCATTTTATACATAGCCCTGTTCTCTAAACATAAAATGGAAGGTGTTGCTGGGAAGATCACAACCGCTGAATGATAGACAGTAGGATTACCACAGGTTACTCATGGAGGGCGTTCCTTCAAATAATTAATTGTCTGCCTAACTAAAGGTGTCTTCCTAGAGCACAATCGGTTCTTTATGAGGAAAATTAAGGAAATCCTATTCTCTTTTTAAGTACTTATAATTAGTTTAGCTACAAAATGAGTAACCTAGTTGATTCATCAAAATTTTATTCTATAATAGGAGATTTATTTAAAATTATTAATTATGGGAGGCCTATTGTCTAGTTTTTTTTCTTAATAAATGGTCTATTGTGTGTGTGTATGTGCATGCGGGTGTGTGCACCATGGTGTTTTAAGTCTCAATGTTTGTACCTGATTGTAGTTTAAAACACTTAAGTGCCACTAGGTGCCACAAAAGACAACTGAAGTGGAAATGCCCCCTGTTGGTGGAAATGCCAAAAAGGCATTTTCCCAGTATGCCCATGCACATAATCCGATGTAAAGTGTGGTACTAATGTTTGAACTCAAATCTGCCCAATCAAACATGATTTTGGTACTATGAAGTCAAAATGCCTAAATGATTAGTACACTAATACATACTTAGACATTTATTATTTTTTTGATTGGAAATGGTAACTTTGAATTAATACATAAGAGAGCAGAATTACCCAAGACAGTTACAAAACAGCTCCCACCATTTGTCCCTTGTTTAGCTAAACTATCAGCCATTCCATTTGCTGATCTTCTAGTCCACTTGAAGGTGACACCAATGTCCCTTGATAAATCTTGGGCTTGGGGACACAGGACAATTAAGTGGGTCAGGGGCCCCATGACTTGTCCTTTTAGTATGTGGCTGTGTTCATGTAATCTTCCTAGCTTGGGATGGTAACGGTAACTCCCTTCAGGTAAGGTTCTTGGTGGCCTGACTCTTGAACTATCATCCTTGTCTACCATGGATGTAATCTTTTTTTTTTCTGCTTTATGTACTTCAAAACACCACTTTTCTCATCCTTCTTTGATGGTTTGAGAAGGTTTTCTTGTTACTGAGGAAGTAGTTATTGATTTTATCTATGCACATTTCCCGGAAAATCTTGATTGTTTCAATTCCCTTATGAGACAGCCTATGGATTCCATCTTGAGTATCCTCTTTAAAAGTACCCTGTGCAACACTTACAAAATAAACTTTTAAGTCAAAGTTCACATGGGCTTTTTTAAGTTAAATCTGGATTCTGATATTAATAGAAAAATGTAGGAAAAGGATGCATCGTTGTTGACACCATCAGATTTAAGGAGGAAGTTTTGTTTTACTGTTATTGCCTTCAGCCTATGTTTTGATATGGCACTAAAAAGAATGAAGGCAAAACAGAATGTGTAGCTGACCCCATATAATTGGGATAAGGCTATGATGATGATGACCTTCAGCCTATGTTTCTTGTCCTATATGTTGGTTGATGCACTGCTGGGCATGGATGTGGGATAAGCTATTCTTTACGGGCTCAAATTCAACAGATGGTGTTATCTTTCCACCCCTTGCCCTTGTTTGGCCTCTTTATTAGAAGGACTTAAACGTCTGATAAAAGTATTTGGAAAGTGATAGGAATGAAATATACTTCTGGGCACGGATGTGGGCTAAGCTATTCTTTACAGGCTCAAATTCATCAGATGGTGTCATCTTTCCACCCTTTGCCCTTGTTTGGCCTCTTTATTAGAAGACTTAAAAGTCTGATAAAAGTATTTGGAAAGTGATAGGAATGAAATATACTAAATAAAATCAAGGTTCAGAATATCAACACTCACAATACCAAAAAAGTTGAGTGTTGTGCATGCCGATTGCTTGATGCTCCTTCTTTCTTTAATTTTTTCAAATTGTTATTTGAAAATAGGTTTTGTTAACAGCTCAAACTGTTAATATTCCCCTAGCTTTCAATATTTTAAATTTTGGTGGCCTTAAAAATCGGTATGATACACACTATATTGGGCATATTGTGTTGATGCTTTAATCCTTGAATAAAATTAGTGCTGGCCGTTATCCCTTCAATTAATAGAGGAAAAACAGGATCAATAAAGATGTAGGAAAGACAAGAAAAAAAGGGAAAGAAATAAGGAGAAGACAGAAAAAATTGCCCTTTCTTTTCTTTATTTATGTATTTCTTTTGACATTTGAAATTTTGTTTATTTTGATTGACATTCATGACTCAACCAAAAAGAAGAGGAGTTATGTGGAGTCACTAGAGCAACAATATTATGGACAGTTTGGGAGAAGAATAACAGGCTTTTTTAAGGAGCATTGTAGGACAATGGAAGCTCTAATTGCAAGCATTAACTCTGGGTAATTATTGGATCAAGGCAATGGAGATTTTTATGGACTATTCTGTCGATGATATGATTAGAGGATGCCAGGATGGGGAATAATAACAAGCTTCTTCCACTTTTAAGATGACAGTCCAAGAAAAGTGGGCTCCACCCAGGAATAATAGGATCAAAATGGATTTTGATGGGAGTTCCTTTGAAAATCCAGAACCTATGGGCATTGGGGGAGTCTTTAGGGGTGAAAATGGTTCAAATGTGGAGCTTTTCTCTGGCCCAATTGGATATGCAGACTCACTTAAAGAAGAAATTTCATCATTGCTGCAAGGATCGAGGCTAATTAAATAGCTGAATATTTTTGAGAAGAGGTAAAGTAAATTTTATTACTAAAGCAAAAAAAGCCATGTACAACTGGAGGCTGTACCTTTCCTTTCATTAATAAAATTAGTTAACTTTATTCAAAAAAAAAAAAACTGGAGGCTGTACACCTGGAATTTACAGCTGAATATTACAGATGAACAGCTAAACAGATGAATATAAAGCAACTGGAGGTTGAGCGGGGCTCCATGCTTGCTAGTAGTAGGTTGGATGAATAATAACAGCCATGAGGTTTGGGTACACAGGCAACTAGCTAAACAATGTGTATCTAGGTAACAACTATTTTGGGCTTCATTGTATGTATGATGTGATCAGGGTGGATAGGCTCTTGTGGGAGCTGAGAGGTGTAAAGCATGATGTATAAACTATTTATTTTCTGAATCAATAAAAGCTTTGGCAGTTACTAATAAAAAAATCAAATGGTACCTTTTATTTCTGGTTCTTAACCAGGTTGATTTCTGGTTTAAGACCATGATCTATAATCTTGCTTTTTTTGTGAATCTGCCTACTTATGTTTCTCTAATTTCATGATACATGTCTTCTAGTCCCAGTTCCCAAGTGACTTGCAAATGGAAGACTTTAGTTTCTTATCATAGTTGAGCTGAATCAAAGCAAAGGAATTGTATGAAATGCAATTGTAGTTTGGATGTTACCAGGGACGCTAATACTATGTATGGAACCTGATTTTTGTACAAGTGAAGTTGCCAAAGGTGCATGGTTATATAGTCTTTGTCTAATTTTACAAATTCTATTTTACAAGATTGAGAATCAATTAATCAAACAATTAAATGCTAACATCTATTTCTGTTCCATATTATTTTTGGGTGAAATTTTAGCTTGTATGTCTAAAGTTCGATTTTAACTGTATAACAAGTATCATTGCTTATACTTATCCTATACTGTTCATATTTATCCTTTCGTCTATGCCGTTTACCTCTGTTTTGACGATTGAATCTGCCTACCTGTATCCTTGGGTTCATATATTTACAAAATTCTTTCTTTTTTCCCATCATCTCTACTGTTGCCAGAGGTGCATAATTATGTAATCTTTTTGTTTAAGATTACAACTTATACTTTTTGAGGTTGAGAGCAAATTAATCAAACAATTAAATGTTAACATCTATTTATGTTCCCTGTTGTTTGTGCGTGAAATTTTAGCTCGTGTATATGAAGTTTGATGGTAATTTTATAGCAGGTATGAGGTATGATTGCTTATAATTTTCCTCATTCATAAAAAAAAAATTTCCTATATCCTTCTGGCTATGTTATTAACTTCCGTCTAAATGATTGGATCTGTTTGCCTGTATCTTTGAACCCATTTATTTTTAAAATTATTTCTTTTTTCTTTCGTACTTTCTGTATAATATCTCTAATTTGGTTAAAAGGTGGCATAATTTTTTTTTTTCTTTCTTCCTTTCTTTCTTTGCATAGGACATGGAATCAATTGTGGAGACCATGATGCAGCAACTTTTGTCGAAGGAGATTCTTCATGAACCAATGAAGGAAATTGGAGAAAGATATCCAAAATGGTTGGAAGATCATAAGCCTGGATTAAGCAAAGAAGAATATGATCGTTACAGCCACCAATATGAACTTATAAAAGAACTAAATGCAGTATATGAAAATGATCCTAGTAACTTCCCCAAAATAGTTGAACTCATGCAGAAAATGCAAGAATGTGGCCAACCCCCTAATGATATTGTGCAAGAACTTGCTCCTGATCTGAATTTAAGCAATCTTGCCCAGTTGTAAGTGTTTGTTATAGAGGCAAATTCTTTTCCTACTATGATCATATGATTTAATCTTTGTCAAGTATGCCTATGCATATATGATTGGGTCCATATTTCGTAAAGGTCTCTAACATGAGGGGAAACTTTTCACCATTGGATTCGTGCCAGCTGGGTAATAATCTGATAATAGTGTGGCATGGGTGTTAAATAGACTCCAATCTGACATTAGAAAGGGGCCCCTACTAGCCCTTTTTTTCAACCATTCTATGAAGATAACTTGTCTGATAGACTTAATAAAATGGTTCTGCAAGCCTGTGAGTTATTGGCAAGGACCATCCTTCATGTCATAGATTCATGCGGGCTTTTCTATAATTCTCCATCAGATATCATTGCTTTGTATATTTGAAATCCTTAATCTCGTTGGCATCATGCTAGTAACTGTTGTTGTTGCTGGTCTGCATTCAGTGTTTTAATATTATTTATCTGCGGAACTGTTATGCTGCTCAGCTGGTTAGATCTTTGATATATATATATATATGTATATATATATATAGCTTTTCTTTTTCTTTTCCTTTTTTTTCCTTTCCCACTGATGCTATAATAATCTTGATTTCTTCTTGGTTGGCATATGGGCTTCCCAAAATGAAAGTAAGTGGAAAAGAGTTTTTACCCTGTTAATTGTTGGAAAAAGGAAAACCGTAAACAAGAGTTTTTTTTTTTTTTCCAGAAGAAAAAATATAGAAATACTAGCAAACAGTGCTCAAATAGTTCCAGTTCAAGCATTTAAGTTCTGCATTTATACAATACCTCCCTCTTTGGATTTTTGTGTCCCCACTGCAATAACCACGTTATTTTGCACAAGGAAGAAAATCATTGGTTTATGCAGATAATATGTAAATAAGTCAAACTATTTTAGAAATCTTTTTATATTCTTTGATACTTTTTGAGCTTGTTAGATGATTGCTTTGTATATTAAATGTCAATTCCAATATAGGAATATTAGCAACTGGGAGTTCTGATAGAAATTAGAATATCTGAGCTGATGTTTAGTTGCAACACTCTGGCATTGACTTTGGAAAGGTATTTCTGAGAAACTTCTTGTTGAAGAGATGGCTGGTAATGATTTAGTTGCTGCTTCATTGTAGAGTATAGATAGATAAATTGATTGTTTTTATTTAATATCAGATTGGTTTGGATGCTTGCCTATTCTTTGATACATAACCCATATCAATACATATGTATTTTTCCCATGATGGTTTTCAAAACATGTTTTTTTTTTTATTTAAAATACGAGGGAGGGGGCGGTGGTAATGATTGGTTCCTTTTATGTAATACTTGATCAAGGATATCACGTTTCTTTGCTTTATTTTCTAGAAAAACATTTATAAGTCCTATAGTCTCAATTGGGATACCCTCTTCCCACCTTTTTAGTCCAAAAGGAAAACCGTATAGGCTTTAATTCCACATTTCCACTGCATAGTTCCAATCTGATTTGATCTTGACAATATTGATTGTAGGCTAAGTTTGGGAAGAGTACAAATACAAACATGTACAGTGTAAATGCAAGGTTTTGCAATGTACATATTTGAATTTGTATATTTCTCATACTGAGCCTTATGGACTGTTTATGTATGGGTAAGTAATGCCATTTTATATTTTATCAAGAACTGAGAGTAAAGTATTTTATTGGTCACCTTGTTGCTAACAGTGGTTCTCTTTTCATTCTTTTTTCTCTCTCCAGGTCCCCAGAGATGCTCGAATCCCAGTCCAACTGTTGTATCATGTGACGCAACCCCCCACTCAAGTTGCTGCTTTCTTTTGCTTTTGAATTTCATTTACAAAATGTGAATACCATTAGAGCTCATATTATCAATATTTTCCTTCATTTTTTAATGAAATTAGATGCAAGGCATTATTGATGATATCCTGTTGTTGTAACTTGAGTTGCATAAAGTAGCGAGGTATTTGTTTATCAAATTTCTAAGGTTCTCTGTTTTTCCTGGTAACCAAAACTTGTTATTCTACCTGGTGGGATAACTCCTTGATTGGCAAAAGCAATAGCAGAAGCATTGTATTGAATATGTATATTATAGGTACTAAATGAATAAGAAATACAGGTGAATAACATTAAAATGAATACCAAAGTAATAAAAAAGAATGTGAGTCGGCCTTGCCAAGCTAACTGGCTAAGCATCGCCAGGTGGAATCCAGTGCCTCCCGTTGACGAAGCTCTTGGCAAGAAAAGGATGCGCTGTGTTGTAGTCCAGCTCCCGAGCCCAAGACACTCCACGCACCGCCTCAGCTCCCGGCCCCCAGCATTTGTACACCCCGAAGAACACCGTCCTGCATTCCATTCCAAGTCCAACGCCAACCACATTTAGATATTTTATTTACCAAGAGTTGAGCGTCGCGTGGTCTCTATGCGTGTGTGTGTGTTTTTTTTCTTTGCTTTGATGTGGTGGTCTGTGTGAATTCAGCTTCAGTAAGACTAACAGTAAACCAGACATTTTATGCATCAAGTACAAGGAGGAGCACATCACGCCATCACTGTGTTCCTAACTTGTCTTTAATATGATAGTGAATTAGTGATAGATAGTACAGACTAACAGTAATTTGTACACTCCGGGATCACAGGCAGTTGAGGCACAGCGCAAGAGGTCAGTGCTAGCAATGCAAGCAGCTCGGCTTTAACCCTGCCCTAGGGCTTTCTTTGGAAGTTGAAACTGATACTGTTTTTTGAGAAAACAGTGTCATGTTTATGGCACATAGGAGATTTGGTGATGGAAAAACGCCCTGTTTCCTTGAATTTGGCTTCAGTCAGTGCAAAGCCTGTTCAAACAACCTTACAGCCTCGCAGTGATTTATGCTTTATTTCATGGGGAGACATTCTCAATGTAAGGTTGCAAGAGGCTGTTCAAACGGTATGAGCACGGGCTTGAACTGACTGAAGCCGATCTCTGTTTTGTTGGTGTTTTTTCAATAAAAAAAAGTCTATTCAAACTATGCCTTGGAATTTGGGAAAGGCGTGGTCTGAAAGAATTGGGACCTGTTCATCGCAGAGCACACCTCACACCGATCTGTGAGGCTGAGGTTGGTGTGAGGTGCGCTCTGTGAGTAGCAGATCCGGGTGTGGTCTGAGACCAAATCTGCTCACACTGACCCCACAGGCCGTACATTGGGAATATCTCCTGTATTTATGTGTTATTATTTACGATGGGATGTGTCTGTGAGATCATTACGAGGCGCCCGGTGTAAGAGGAGATCCCAATTCCAAACATTTACCTATATTTACTGCAGTACAGTGCTGCTGAGGCACAAAAAGCTATTATTATTGGACCCCACCTTGTCTCAGCTGTTCCAATTGTCCTATTTTTCCAAAACCACGGAATCTAATCCATGTAATATTGTGGCCCCACCCTGAATTACATGAAGTGCCATACCCATAGTGATGCAAGCCGTATTTCCTGCCCACTACTCTCTACACACTCCATCGCCTTAAAGTGCAGCCATACATCGTCAATTTTGTATTGTGAGATGTGCGGTTGTAATGTATATGTATAGGGTGCAGGTGCAGAAAGCGAGTAGGAGGTTTGTCCACTTAGTCGAGCCGTATTCCTGTCCACTATTCACTACCCACATTCTATTCGTCTTGAATTACAGTGATAATTTCCTACCCACTACCTACAATTATCCACAGGATACTACAACTGTATATTGGGAATTTCTTCTTTATTTATCTTCATCATTTCACGGGGAGATGTTTCCAATGTACTGTTATAGTGTCATATGGATAAGAGATCCGGATTCTCATTTTGTATTGTGAGACATGCTGCTGCCTGTCCACGTAGTGACGGGCGTAAGAAATAGTCAATAATATGATTGGATCTACTACCCATAGAATACCACCACCATGTATTGGGAGCATTAGGCTGTTCATAAGAAGGCCCAATTCGACTAAACCGATCAATTCTGATTGATCTAACCCGAGTCGGCCGGGTTTTCATCAGCACCGATCGATTTCGGGTTATACAAATTCATAAACCGATGGTTCGGGTCGATTTTGGTTTTCTTGTGTAAAAACCGAAAATGACCTGAACCGAACCGAACCGACTTAATTCCTACTTAACTAAGTTGTCTCTATCCTAATTCCTAATTACAACCTAACCTAGTTTTCTAGTTAGGAATAACATCAAAGGATCCTAGTTTCTATAGTCTTTTACACCAAATAGGCAACCAATTAGGCAATTACAATTAGAATTAGACGTCCTTTTTTACTTAGATTAGAACTTAAAAAGTTTCTTGAAATATACAAATTTCAGCATTTTTTCTCCAATACAGTTTGACTTTTTATTTTCTTGATCTGTCTTCTATTCTAATTCTAACTTAGAGCCGAAAACGACCCAAACCGACTCAAACCGACCAAGTTGGTTTTGCTTAACACTGCGACGGTTTCGGTTTCCATCTCAGGTAACCCGACCAGGTCGGATTTGTTGGAAAAACCTCAATAAACCAACCCAACCCGACCTGTGAACAGCCCTAGGGAGCATCTCCTAGGGAGATATTCTCAATGTGCAGTTGTGATGTCTTGCGAGTAGGTAGAGATGTGGGAACATCTCGTGGGTAGCAGATCCGAGCTCCAATAATACATGGAAAATCAGACGACTCACGGTTAATCGGATATAGCGCTAAAAGTAAAACCATGTCGTAGTGGTAGCAAAAGTGAAATGGTTAGGTGGTTACTTGTTTTTGTTGCTGGTGTGATCCCAGTCATCCCAGCCACCTGGCGCCACCACATCGGCGAAGTATGTATAAGAGAAAACGATCCTGGAATACTGGCCCATTGCACGCCCCACGTAGAGGGGACCCGAACCCGTCACCTTACAGTTGAGGAAGGCGAACCCTGTTCTCTCTTCTGCACTTTTCCTGTCTTGTGCTGCTATCGATCCGAATCTTGTTGCGATCGAATGTAGCTCGCAATCCTGCATCATCATCCCCCCAAGGACATTAATGCATTAATGGAGGGGAGATACTTGTTAGGAAGTCCAAAGTCATACTGTGTGTGTTGTGTAGAATGTCAAATACCTTGTACATGGACCGACCGTTGCCGAAGATGAAGTCGATAGAGCCTTCGATGTAGCACTCCTTGAAGTAATGGCGTCCAGCGTCGTCGCAGAGCGTATCTTGCGCTCCGTAGAAACCGCAACCAGAGAAGTAAGACTTGTCACCCGATATACGAAATGCTGCCGCTTGCCATCCTTCCATCCCCGGCATCGGTGCCGGTGCTGTATTCTGCCATGCCATGCCCATGTACACACAGTTCAAGTAAACTACCATTTACTTAATTAATTAATCAATCACTTTTTCTTCTTTCTGACTTTCTTTCAAACATCTCACCTTGAAACTGATGTTTTTAGCAGAGAAGTAATTAGCGAAAACAGTAACAGAAGCTGTTTTGTAAGTGCGTAGCTGTTGACCGTTTGGTCCCCGGTCTGCCGCTCTATCATGCCATTCGATCACTGTCACTTCCCTCCCTTCCCCTTGAAACGTGATGAACAGCTTCGTCGCCGGTACCACAACCTTCTCTCTGCTCCTCCCCACCACTTGGAAAAGTTAATACACAGAAGGAAAAAAAAACAAAAAAGTTCATAAATAAACAACCCACAATTGCACACACTAACAAGAATGTCATGATGAGATTACATGTAGATCCCGGCTTTGATCTGTATAATGACTTTCTCCTTGTTGTTTTCCGGGACGGACTCAACGGCAGCTTGGACGGACAGGAAGTCGCCGCAACCTCGGGAGTCGACGGTGATCACACGGCGGCCGGTGGGTCCAACCCACTTGTGATGGTGCCTCGTTGAGTTTGCAGAAGCACTAACCTGCAATGGTGAAATTGAATGCAGTGAGAAGAAAGTAAAGAAGAAAAACGGTACCAGCAGAGAGCCCATTCATATAATTAGGGATAAAGGTTGAGAGAGCAAAGAAGAGAATAGAATGGAGAATGTCTAACAAAGTCAGTCTGAACTCTGAATCAATGGAGACTCTTCTTTTATATATATCTTACTTTTCCTCTCTCCTCTGTAATTGTTGTTATTTATTTCAATCACATGAATCATGGCTCAACGGGTAACGGTCGGGTTTTCCGCTACTCGGTCGTCCTCAGATTGTTGCTTAGTTCGGCCTTGCTTGCTTACTTACACCCAAAGTACAAAAAGCATTTAAAGATGAAGTCGACTATTTGGACGGTCAAGATTCAAAAGAACGTGTAATGTGGACCACCTTGGGAGTAAAAAGTTTAGGGTAAATCACAAATACCCCCCTCTATTACGGGTGGTTTTAGTGACGATGGCCCCTGAACTTTCGTTGGCTGTTAGATGATGGAATGCCTTAAAATACCAAAATGTCCACATGATATTTCGTTTTCTTCTTTTCTTTGCCCTTTTTTTTCTAAAACCCTAATTTACCAAATTTTCTCTAAATAAAATTAGCTAAAATAACAAGATTCATCATAAAAAAACAAGTTCTTTTAAATTCTTATTTGATTTCATTGCCGTGAGAACTTGGATTCAGTTTTCAGTTCTCATAAAACGGTGCTCACACCATATTCACAGCCACTTGCATATATGTATTAGTAATATCTCCCCATGAATAAAAACATATAAATATGGAGATATTCTCGATACACAACTGCAAGTGGCTATGAATAGTGTATGAACATCGCTTTGTGAGGACTGAAATTTTCTCTTCATCTTAAAATTTAAAAAAATTAATGGAATCATAATTTGTTCAAATAAAAAAAACGTATAATTTGAAAATTCAAAAAATTTTAAGCAACTGAATGAGAATTTATTTTTTCAAAATAAACTGACAAAGATCTAACGGAGGGGGAATTTATCACAAACTTAAAGTTCATGAGTCTTTCTCACAAATAAAAATTCAGGAAGGTAATTATCATCAACTCCATAGTAAAGGGGAGTTTTTTTTTTAAATTTACCCAAAAATGTATGACGTATTATGGTATTAGGAGATGATGAGATTGGGGCCCAGGAAGCATTAGAAAATGATAGACGGGCCAGATTCTATATTTGGCCGAGCTTAAACTCGGTGCACAACGGTCATCTTGGAAAGTAGATTTTAGAGAGAGAGAGAGGGGGGGGGGGATTAAGGTGGAAGAGTGTCCAAGAAAAAGGTGGAAGGAGATGATGGAGCAAGCGTGGAACATAATATATTTGTAATGTAGTAGAGAGTAGAGAGAGAACAGGTGAAGAGGTACAAGGTAGTAGTAGGCTCATTTGGCCATTTCCATGAAAACAGTTAAGAATTTTGAACGTTACGACGCTACAGGACAGGACACGGCGGGACATTGCTATTTGCTAGTAATGTCAGAAAGAAGAGCGAAACAGTGTTCTGTTCGGCGCAGGAACTCCGATGGGACCCACGCAGGATGCTTTTGCTTTGGAGGAGAAGGAACAGAATTGTCGTAGCTCATAGGTGGAACACGACAACTTGTCTCCAATAATTGCCCAGCGATCACCCAGGAATCTTTTTCATTGACCGATACAGAGTTCAGGATGTTAGTTACCTTCCCAAGTTCTAATCCTCTGCAGTTCTGCTCGTAATATACTACTATTGTTCAGGACACCGGGAACTAGGTGCCGACGTGCCGTTGCCAACTTGCCATGTACGTGTTGTATGCCCCCAATCGGGTCATGGGCTGTGTTGTCCGATGCCAAGTTGTCGACCCATTTACAGGTGGACCGGATTTTTTTCTTCTTTTGGTAATTTGAGTATTTTATTTTTTAATTATTTTTTATTTATTGCATTTTGATTAATATTTAACTTTGCGAGCAAGCCAATTTCGATTCTAAAAATAAACAAGAGGGTTATTTTCGATTCCAATAGTATATTTATAGACAAAAACAGACGATATCTGAAATGATGTTAACAGCTTTGCTTTAGATTGATTAAAATATTGCAAAATGCTATGTTGCATGCCTAGTCAACAATTTACATTTATATGTGGATTCCACAAAGAAATCCCGCACGTTAGACCATTGTACACGTCATCTAAATAAAAAAAATGGAAAAGTATGGACACACCCAATTTGATTTGCACCGCAAAACTATAAATATTCAAAAGGTCAAAAACCCACAGTCTATGCACCCATGCTTGCACGTGAATTATCCTTTTAAGTTGCATTTGGAAACGATGCAAATGGAGTGTAAATCCGGGTAAATTTGCACTCTGGTTCACTTTTGTCTGTGTTTGACAACATTACATTTAATGCATTGACAAATGACAAACCAATGCATATTTATATTGATAATAAGATATAAAAGTACATCAATAAGAAAGAAGCAAATTTGCATTCAAGTGGACTTTTGATAAAAAAAAAGCATATGCTTTATTGGAACTCATGTTTGCATCCATTACAACTAAAAGTCTATTTGCTAAGAAGGAAAATTTGTCAGTGCAAAACTAACTCAATTTTGCAATTTATATGAACCGTTTTACACTCTACATATTTGCATTTACACTTATTTGCATCGTTTCCAAACGCATACTCAGGGGAAAAAGGATTCAAAGAGATTTGAAGGGCTCCCAATCGTCTTCTTCACCTCCAACTGAGAGACACAAAGAGCTTGCATTCTTCTTCTTTGTTTGGCCACAGTTTAGGTTTTCTTGAAGTTTTTCTTCCCCATTTGAGGCATCCTCTTCTTTGTCACTGTGTTCAAGTGAAAGAACCTTAAATCCACACTAGAGAATTTCCCGTCGACGGAAGAAATGGAAGGATCTTCATCAAAGGCCTCAAGTTATTAGTCTCAGAACTTCGACTACAAAGGGCCACTTGTATTCTGTCATTGTGGCTTGAAAGCTCCTGAACAAAGGATAAACCTAGTAGGAGGTGATAACTCGAGTAGAATGAGAAACTCTTCTTCCTTTTTCTTATATTCTTCCTTTGTAGAGAATGAGATATATATATATATATATATATATATACATAATACACACCTCTCCTAGTTATATGTAAATTCTGGTTCTACCTCTCCTAGTTACATACAAACTTAGGATGAGATTTATCCCTGAATTCAAGGGATATCCCCTAGTTTTACAGCTCACGCCAATACTCCCCCTCACGTTGGTGCGTACAGATCTTGGATGCCCAACTTGCCAAGTGAGCTGTATAAGTTTTTACTGGATATAACCTTTGTAAGTATATCTGCCAGCTGGTCTTTAGATTTGACAAAGGGAAATCGAATGGTTCTGTCTTCGATATTTTGTTTGATGAAATGCCGGTCCACCTCCACATGCTTTGTTCGATCATGTTGGACGGGATTCCGAGAGATGTCAATGGCAGCCTTGTTGTCGTAGAATAGGTCCATTGCAGAGGTTGGGGGGAAACCAATTTCAGTCATCAGTCTTCTCAGCCAGAATAGCTCGCACAACCCTTTAGCCATTCCTCGGAACTCAGCTTCAGCACTTGATAGGGCCACGACCTTCTATTTTTTACTCCTCCATGTGACCAGATTTCCACCGACGAATGTAAAGTATCCTGAGGTGGATTTTCTATCTGAGACATTTTTGGCCCAATCTGCATCTGTGTAGTCTTCTATCTTTAGATGATCATTTTTTGAGAACATGAGTCATTTTCCAGGTGAGGACTTCAAGTATCGAAGAATCCGCATTACAGCATTCATGTGATCTTCGCTTGGGCAGTGCATGAACTGACTTACTACGCTGACGGCGTAGGCGATGTCTGGACGAGTATGGGAAATGTAAATGAGTTTACCCACCAGCCTTTGGTATCTCTCCTTATTGGTAGGTACTTGGTCTGGGTATTCTCCAAGTCTATGGTTTTGAACGATTGGTGTGTCTGCCGGTTTACACTCCAACTGTCCCACTTCGAGAGTAAGTCCAAGGTGTATTTCCGTTGGGACAGAAATATGCCTTCATTTGATCTAGCAACTTCAATCCCTAGAAAGTACTTGAGCCCACTTAAGTTCTTCATCTCAAACTCGGTTGCCAATTGCTTCTGCAGTGTTGCTATTTCTCCTGAATCATTCCCTGTGATAATCATATCATCCACGTATATTATTAGGGCTGTCACCTTTCATCGTTGGTGCTTCAAAAATAGTGTATGATCTGAATTGCTTTGCTGGAAGCCATATGTTTTCATCGCAAGACTGAACCTCCCAAACCATGCCCATGGAGATTGCTTTAGTCCATATAGTGCTCGCTGTAGCTTACACACAACTTGGTTCTTGGAGTTCGCTGTATAACTAGGTGGGATGTCCATGTATACCTCCTCTTCAAGATCACCATGGAGGAAGGTGTTCTTCACATCGAACTGGTGTAGTGGCCAATCAAGATTTGCTGCAAGAGATAATAAGACTCTGACCGTATTCAGTTTGGCTACTGGGGAGAAAGTCTCTTGATAATCTACGCCCTATGTCTGGGTATATCCTTTTGTGACCAGCCTTGCTTTGTATCTCTCGACTGTCCCGTCTGCCTTGTATTTGACGGAAAATACCCATTTACACCATACCGATCTTTTCCCTTCAGGCAAGGTGACTAGAGTCCATGTCTTGTTCTTCAGTAGTGCCTCCATCTCTTCTTGTATGGCCCGAGTCCATTTCGGGTTTGTCAAAGCTTCTTGGACACTGGTAGGAATATGATTAGAGGACAATTCTTGCACAACTGATTTTAGGGGTTTGGTGAGTCTCTTTGTTGATACATAGTTGGCAATTGGATACTTTGTCCTCCTATCCTCAACATCTAGAAAATATCTGTTTGGCGGTTTGCCACGATTATGCTTGAAAGGTAAGGTGTAGCCAGTCGAAGTATCGTTAGAGCTTGAAGGTGTGGTAGGGGAAGTTACCTCAGGGATGCTCTCATGTGCTTCTGGGATATCCTCAGGAGGTGGGCTTTCCGGCACTGGCGAGGTTGGGGTCTCTATTTCTTCTGCTGGTAGAGGCGATGCCGACATTGAGGTCTCTGTAGATATTTTTGGTGTAGTCTCTGTAGGTGTTTTACCGGTTGCTTCATTGACCACCATTTCTGTTGAAGCACT